CAGCACGTGCTATTTGTTTAGACACGTGATACTGTACGCTGAACAGAGCGGGAAACTTCAGATGTGGATTTAAATGCAGCCGACAGAAAATCCTGCCGCACCACAGAGCCCCATTCACATAGTTTTCCATTAAATTACATTATATTGGTCTCGAATTGTTGTTAATGCTTCATTTATAGAGCTATAATATAGATTGCACTATCTCTTTCTGTTTGCTCTGTTTTTTAAACACCGAACTTCAAACTCGTCTATGCCTCATTGTTCGTTCATTCTTGAAGTAAACTTGTGTCCATTTGGTGATTAAATAATCAGTTTTAGACCGCTGCTCGAGTTGAACGCGACGCGTCCGGAGTGTGTGTGATACCGGTGAGTTCTCCTAGACTCAGCGCTGCGCTTTTATTTTGATTAGATAATCATCAAGTGTTCAAGAATAGAAGAAGTTAAAGTGTGAGAGTATACATACAATATCCATATGTATATCATTTTAATGCTATGGCCTTTGTGTATATATTTAAAAATGTGCATCTTTAAGCATGACTGTTGAAATGAAATGGTAACACTTTAAAATAAGAGTCCATTTGTAACATTAAGATTAATGAAAGCTGTGTAATGAAAGTATTGTTCCTTGTTAGAGTGTTAATTTCAAAAAAATTTATTATTACTACTACTACTAGTATGGTTCAGTATTGTTTTTTTAATAAAGCATTATTTTAGTTTTTGTTCAGTATCCATTTTAAAAACTATCAGTTAATTAATCGGCATCGGCCAGTGTGGTCCATCCTAGCTATCGGTATCGACAAAATCCACTATCAGTTGACCTCTAGTTGTAATAATGTAATATATGTGAAAAATTGTGTTTTTTTTTCAAGCAACCTAGTATGAGAGCCTGTTCTAGTACACCACCAAAACAAAATCAAGACTTTGTAAAAGAGCATAATAGGACCCCTTTAATATTCTGAATTAGCTTTCATTTTTATATTTCCAGTTTTCATTATAATTTAAGTTATATTTTTAGTAATTTTGTTATATGCTTTTGTCATATTTACTTTTTTTGTTGAAATATTACCATTTAGTTAATTTTTTTATTATTTTTTTTCAGTTTTAGATTTGTATTGATTTTATTTCCAGTCAGTAATTTTAGTGCTTCAACTTTAAATGAAAATTAGAAATGCTGCCTGGGCAACTAAATAAAATAAGTTTTTCCATCTAATATTTATATTTTATTTATTTTAGCTTTGTTTCAATGAACAAAAATGTTTGAATAGTTTTAGTTCTAGCTTTAGTTAACCTACAGCGCACACTGCCCAACATGCTTCTGTAATAGTATCATATCAATTTAAAGACCAAGGGTACATGAAAATAATCTCTCTCCATTTTAAAATATTCTGAAAGATATTTTCTTTAAGAAACAGGACCACAAACAAACCATGCCTTAGGAAACATATAGTAAAATATGTTCATTTGTGGCAAAGTTTACCAGAACCCTATATTTTGGAAAGGGCAAGTGTGCGTAACGAGCTTTGCAGGTAGACTTAGGCGAAAATCTTTCTAGATTATTGACACTGCACAACTAGAATAGTTATTGCAGAATCAGGACAACATGGAGATGGAAAAGAAACATCCCAGGGGTTTAATCAACAGCATCCACAGATGTCATAGCAACAGAAATATCCAAGCAACAGAACAAACCGTTGAGAATAAACAGTATTGACTGGGAGAGTTGGGCTCTTTAACATAAAGTACTATATGAGAATCTATGTCATGTCAAGAAAGACACCTGTAACTTCAACTGCACTTAGAAATACATCAGTATGCCTGAGAGAGCTCATAATTCATCATGGGACTTAAGCATTTGCAATGGCCATCATGTGAACAGCTGCTAAATAACGGCAAACTGATCAAGTCCGAAGAGACAAGATGGTTCGATTCAAAGAATTGGTTTTAAAAAAACAATGATTCTTTTTTTATGTTATCAGGCGGTCCCTGACATTGTTTCATGCACTGAACACACTAATAAAACCACGCAATCACAAATGCATGCTTATTTTATTAATAATGATATTAACATGTAAGATCAACTAATAAGGGTCTTTACTGTCATTTCACGTGCCCCTGTTTAGTTTGTTGCAGTCTTGAAATCTATAACAACTTAAATACAATTTGCATGTACATTAATACTACATTAACTGACATATCTTGATATGAAATGCTCATAAATATATTTCCAGCACGTTTTATTTGTAACAATTATGCTATTCGGCTATTAAAGGATTAGTTCACTCCAGAATTAAAACTTTCCTGATGATTTATTCACCCCTATGTCATCCTAGATGTTCATGACTTTCTTTCTTCAGTCGAAAAGAAATTAAGGATTTTGAGGAAAACATTCCAGGATTTTTCTCCATATAGTGGACTTCAATGGGGACTAACAGGTTGAAGGTCAAATTGCAGCTTCAAAGGGCTCTACACGTTCCCAGCTGAGGAATTAGGGTCTTATCTACCGAAACGATCGGTCATTTTCCTAAAGAAAATAAAAATGTATATACTTTAAGCACAAATGCTTATCTTGCATTAAGTAGTCATGTTGGAAAGGTCACGCGTGACATAAGCGGAAGTACCGACCCAGTGTTTACAAGTGTGGAGAAGGAGGGCCGTTCAAAAGTTGTTGTATGTTGACTGACACAAATGTATGTCTTTCTTTATGTTTATTGTTTAAAATGGTCAGTTCGTGTGCATATCCTTAATGCACATACCTACTAATACTGCGTAAATAGGCTACTGCGTAGGGGTAGTAATAACATATATATTTATTAGCAGTTGATTCTTTAACTTCAGACAAAACTCTCTTCACACTCACATTGGTTTAATTAACAATGATCAACAGTGGACAGTTCATGAACATGTCCATCCCATTTTAAATTGTATATTGCGTTTAATATTGTTCTGTGATGGAGACAAAAAAGAACATTTAGAATAAAATTGCTGACCCCTTTTGTCTGGCTAAGACTGATTTCATAGCAAGAATTTTACGTACCCGAAATACAAACAATTAAATAAAATGCACATACCTACTAATACTGCGTAAATAGGCTACTGCGTAGGGGTAGTAATAACATATATATTTATTAGCAGTTGATTCTTTAACTTCAGACAAAACTCTCTTCACACTCACATTGGTTTAATTAACAATGATCAACAGTGGACAGTTCTGTTGTTGTTGTTTTTTACGAAATGTCATGAACATGTCCATCCCATTTTAAATTGTATATTGCGTTTAATATTGTTCTGTGATGGAGACAAAAAAGAACATTTAGAATAAAATTGCTGACCCCTTTTGTCTGGCTAAGACTGATTTCATAGCAAGAATTTTACGTACCCGAAATACAAACAATT